GACACACATAAATCGAGAAATGGTCCAAATTAAAATTAAAAAAGAAGAAGAAGAAGAAGAAGAAGAAATCTATTGAAAACTTGAAAAGAGAATAACAAATCGTCGAATCTGCTTAAAAAAAAAAAAATCAACACAATGTAACCACACGCCCCTAAGCACACATGGCCTGGCTCCACTACTCTTGACATGCATAAATGGCAAAAATCATGGCGATGTATCTTTCCATGATCTAGTGGAAGATTCTGCTGGAAAAAAAAAAACAATCAAAACAATGTAACCGCACACCCCTAAACACACAGGGCCTGGCTCCACTACTCTCGATTTGCACGAACAACAAAAATCATGGTGATGTATCTGTCCATGATCTAGTGGAGGATTCACTCTTGTCTTGCACATTTCTAGAGTACTGAAGCGAGGAACTCCAGCAAAAGAGAAAAGGCGAAACGTCACACGGGCCGCGCTGCTCACGCTGGTATGTACTTGTATTCCAATGTGTGAGCAGCCCGTCGACGCGCCTCCCCGGTCCACCGCGATGGGCCCAGCGAAAAGTCTTCCCAGCACAGGGACGAGGGTCTGACGTGGGAGCGTCACGCGAAACCCGCTTTTCGCTTAAAGAGAGTAAGGGATTACTATAAACACAGTAGTATTTGTTGATTTGTCACAAAACGCCGCCATGTGAGCAATTGACAGAAAGGGAGAAAAGGACAAGAAAGAAAAGGACTGAAAAATGGCGGCCATAACTTTACAGTTCCGTTACTTTCGTACCACTCTATTGCAATTGGAAACATTTCTACCCTATCCGCATATCGGGCCTCGCTCCACTACTCCGCATTCGGCAAGTATTTGGACTGGCCCGTAGACCTGAAACATTTGGACTAATGATCACTGATCCAACATTCATATGTATCAGACCTCAAACAGGTACAGGCACATTTAGTATGCTGTGTAGAGGAGTGAGGGCCATCCTCCAGGCAAGTGTCTAAGATGGGTGTGTGGATTTGTTTTGCCTTTCCTTTGTTATCTGCAGGTTGATTGGGAAGCGATTCTGACACGTCATCCCGAGCAATTCATTAGCTCGATCAGAACCTGGCTGTATCCATCCATAACAGTGGTCAACGGCGCTAAGTGTGGGGCATGTGACTCACTGCCTGTTATCAGTGAGGCATTACCGACACTGGCAGATGTGATTGGGGCTTTGAATCGCAGTGTGAAGTTATGACAAGAATGCGCTGTTAGACGTTAGGAACTGATCTTTGAAATGATGTTTGGAGTGATGGTTGCTGCATGATAACAATTCCACTGCTGATTTGAGAAGGTGACCGCTTTTGTCTGGTGATTCAGAAGCATATTTTGTGTTCATCTCCTTCCAAAGCCCAGTTGGGTTTAAGGTGAAGACCTTAGGCCTTAGTGGCTACATTCAAGGAACAAATGTTCAACTGAGAGGGGAAGTGGAAGTGGAGGAGCAGTCATCACTGGTATGGCGCAAGAGTTGTATCCAGTAGTTTCTTGGAAGTCGTAATGATCACAGTTATAGAGTTTAATACCTTTATCAAATAGTGTTCAATTGCTATTCCCCCCGGGACCCCGGTGTCATGGGTGGGGGGATGAACGAGTTGTGACAATAGGATTACAATACATACGGAAGAGGGAGGCCAACCCAGCTGCATGAAAAGGGATGTCAAAGCATTTAGTGTTCTCACAAATTGGCCTGACCACCTCCAGGGCGCGCAGAGCAATCGGTTTGTATATTGAGCTCTCTCCTGTCCATCCGTCCATCCGGCCGTCTTTGTTCATCCGTCCTTCCATCTGCTCGCCCGCCTGTCCGTCCATCCCCCATCACCTGTCCACCCGCCTCACTGTCCCTCTCTCTCTCTGTCTGTCTCTCTCTCTCTCTCTCTCTCTCTCTCTCTCTCTCTCTCTCTCTCTCTCTCTCACACACACACACACACACACACTCTCACACACACAACTAGCGAGCTATTCTCTCGTTTTGTGGTTGGATATGTCTTGTTGGTTTTGATGATTTATACACGGCCTAATTCTTTGCCCTGCTTTAGAGCATGGGCTGTTTGGATGTTTACGGGTGGCCACAAGTTCTCTTTGGGGGGAATGTATGTTTTGTGGCCGGCGTGGAAGGCTTTCACAGTTTTTTCGGACCCTTAGTAGGGGGGGTCGGTGCGTTCTTGCTGGAGGAGTCTTCTGTCTTAGGTAAGTTGTCTCTTATCTTCTTCCTCCTCTTTGGCAGTGACACGAGTGTGTAGTTTGAGATGAATGTCGGGAATGCCGATGCTGTTATATTTGATTGTTTTTGGTAAATGAGTTTTTGGTTTTGTGGCCCGATGCGGAAGGCTCTCTAAGTTTTTTCGGACCTTTGAGGGCTTCGGGTTGGTGCCTTCTTGCTGGAGTAGTCTTCTGTCTTAGGTAAGTTGCCTTCGGCCCTCCATCCCCCTTATGGTTTGAAATACATATGCACACATTATGTATGTGTGCAAGTGTGCCGCTTTGGCGGCAGACGGGTGTGTGGGCAATTAGCGCTGAACCACACATTTTCTATTATATTGCCTATCTATACTTTTTCGTTATGGATGGCTTGTGATGATTTGTGAAGGGAATGAGAGAGAGAATCTGGGGTCTTGTAAAACAACACACACACACACACACACACACACACACACACACACACACACACACACACACACACACACACAGAGACACACAGACACACACACACACAGTCACACAGCATTTTTCAGACTTCTTTCATATTGGGGTCGTTTTACTTCTGTCGCCTGAAACTCTTGCGATCGAACTCCGAGGGCAAGTACTGTGGGTGTGATTCTATGAGCTCTACTTTTCAGAGCACATGGCTAGAGGATGCCAGGGTGCTCTTGCCAGTGATGCTCCTAATGCCTCACGTCAGTTCGCAGTTAGGTCTGGTTCTTTATTTTTGGTAACACGGATTCCCAGGCGGGATTCTATGGGCAGGCTTGGACAGCTTGTTCTGCAGGTGTGATTCCCAGGGCTCTGCATTTCATAGATCATTGACTGTTCATCGGTCTAGGGTGCTTTATCCAGTACAGCTGCCGCTGTTGTCGAGTGTTCTCTTGCTATGGGCAGGTCGCAGGATAGAGAGTTTTATGCTATGAGATATTTTTGATCGCAAGGCCAAGGTACGGGGTTTTGTGATAATCGGGTGCTGTTGGGCTTTCATGCAGGTAGTGGTGGTCCTTCCGGTTTTGAACTGGAGTCCGGGCGGGCCTTTAGTTTTACAAGTGTTCATGCCCGGTTGAATGGTTCTTCCGCTTGATGCAGTTCAAAACATCAAGAAGGATGGCGGCATTTTACATGAGAGGTTGGCAGGTAGTACTTGGTAAGTTGGTACACCTTTCGAGATAAATACCATCTTTCTTCTTTTCCTTTCTTTTTTTTTTCTTATTTTTTTTAAACATCTGCATCAAGGGGGCGGCGGCCTTGAGATATCACCATTAAACTGACCGGGCCCAGGTAATTCAGAATTGTTTAGTTTTGTTCATACGATTGGACCTGGATCCGAAATTGTGTCTGTATTTCAACAGTTCATGGGTGTACCAACTGAGCTACGTTGGTTATGTAACAAATTTTGCAAACGGTTGGATAGTTCAGGTTGATGAATGAACTGACGTATAAAGAGTGATGGGGCATTCATCTCCTTCTTGGTGTAGTTGTGCGCTACGTGGATGGAAGCGTTGGCACTTCCCGCTTGAAACCACCAGTACATTGGAACAGAGTAAACGGGCCATGCACAGTGTCTGGGGTTGCATTTTTATTTTCAAATGTAAACAAGCTATCTTTCAGGTCAGGAACAGTCATGATGAGGGTTTAACCACACAGTCATGGGCAATATTGCATTTAGCTTATTTCAAGTGATTTGCACTTGTGGTGCACCGCGCATGCACGTGCGGTGCACAGTGTACTCGTACGAATGAAATTAGGGGGTCAATTGAAAAAAGGGGGAGGTGCGGGATGTTGTGGCATGCCCAGTCCGTCCCCTCCCCTGAAAAAAAAAAAGTGGGCTGAAAAAAAGTTGGGGCCGCACTCAACTATGGCCCAGAAAACTTGATGAGTGCGTTTGTTCTCAAATTTTGTGAAGTTGTGATGAGGGTGTGTCGTGCTCTCGATGTACGAGCGACATTTCAGGTCAATAAATAGAGCTTGAGGGTGTTTTGTGTTCTCGAATGTATATAAACTAATTTTCAGGTCCGGTACAGTCATGATGAGGGGGCATTGCATTCTCAACAACAGGGCTTGAATGTGTGTCGTGTTCTCAACTGTATTCAAGCTATTTTCAGGTCTGATACAGTTATTACGAGGTTGCATTATGTTCATGGAACTTTTGTGAAGTTTTGATGAGGGTGCATTGTGGTGTGGAATGTACACAAGCTTTTCTCAGCTACTGTGCAGTCATGACAGTCGTTTCAGTTTTTTCCCGCTGAAAATAATAACAAGCTTTTTCAAGAAGCGCAAAGTGAACACCATGATTCATGAACAGGCCGTTACCTCCCTCCCTCCTTGTTTGTGTGTGTGTGTGTGTGTGTGTGTGTGTGTGTGTGTGTGTGTGTGTGTGTGTGTGTGTGTGTGTTTTGCGAGAACAGGAAGCCACCACGCCAAAAACAGCGCAGCAGACTATACAATACAGAACGCCTTCTCAGATAATGCAGACCTTTGAACAATGGTTATTTCGGATGTATGAAACCAATTACCCAGGGGTTGCACCGAGTACACTCCTTTGTCCGACAAACAGCGTAAGGCAGTGAGGGAAACAGCAGCAAGGCAAACAGCACAACACAACAAAGCACACTGGGTGAAAGCCATGGGGTAGACGGATGGGCAAGCAAACAGCGTAAGACAGCGAAGGAAACAACAACAAGACAAACGACGACAACGCAAACACAACACCCGAAAAAAAAAAAAGTATAAACAAAACAAAGACTGAAAAAAATAAACAGATGATGAAAGATTGTTTCGTCGGAGTTGCACCGACTCATCAGGAGGCTGAACCCTCTACAATCTGCGGATCTCTGTACTTGGTGGTTTGGGTCATGAACCCTTTGACCCTTCTTGAAGGCAGACTGTCCCCAAGCGGAACATAGCAGCGGGCGGCAACCCTGTGAAGCACCAGGCAACACAGTAGAGGCAACATGGCTGCACAACGCCAAAAACGACTGCAAGGAACGACATGGCACGCAGGATGCAGCGCGGAAACCGTGAAGTGAAGCACAAGACAACACAAGCAAGGCAACAGCACTGCAGGGGACGACAGGGCGAGTGGACCAGAAGGTCGGCAACCATGGAGCGGATCACAAGGCACCAGCAACAAGGCAACCAACCTACAGGGCACACAAGCGGCAAACACGGAAGGCACGGCCAGCGGATGAGCAGCACGGCAGCAAAGCAGCGAAGCGCAAGGCAATGCCAACAACACGGCCACACCGCACAGCGAAAACACATCAACCTGCAAAGAACCACATGCGAAGCAAGCGGGACAGGCAGCAGGGCAGCGGCGGAGCGCAGACGAGGACGTCCACACATCCAACACGGAGCAAAGCAGCACATGACCTACTCACGTCACGATTGAACCCCGCAGACTGTTGGTTCCCACCACCCACTGAGCCAGGGAGTCACTCCGACGAACATCCGTCATCACAGACAGGCAACACAGACATCCCGAACCGAGCGGCCCCCATAAGAGTGCAGTAGGCACTCCAAACGAGGAACCACCGACTGTTTGGCACTACTCAAGGGTGCTCAGTTGGGCACACAAAAAAATACTTAGAAAAAATCAGGGGGAGGACAGACAACACACGAAAGACTGACAGACATAAAACTGATTGTGTGTGTGTGTGTGTGTGTGTGTGTGTGTGTACAAGCGATTGTTAAGGTCCAATACAGTCCTGATGAGGGTGCGTTGCATTCGCCACTATTGGAAGTTGTGATGGGGGTGCATTTTACTTTCAAATGTATACAAGCTATCTTTCCGCTCAGGTACAGTCATCATGAGGGTGCGATCCATGCAACCCCGTGGCTAGATATTGCTAGTAATTGTGGTTCAGCATGCTGCGGTGAATATGTACTGAGGCCATGGGAATGTCTTTTCCTCGAAATTGATTAAATGATAAACCAATGACTCTGATACGTTATGCACGTCAAGTGCACAGGATGTTTTTCGCATTGTTGACCATTTCCGATATCATATCCAACTTCATAGACGATTGTAAGGTAAAGCTGTCTCAATTTTGGATCTACTCATCTGGTGGGCTGTCTCAATTTTGGATCTACTCATCTGGTGGGCTGTCTCAATTTTCGGATCTACTCATCTGGTGGAAAATGGGCTGTTGTGGTGAAGTTTCAAAGAGACGCGCACACAAGCGCACACCCACAAACACAAACACAAAAACACACCCACACACGCGCACTCCCCTGCCCCCCCCTCCTGTCCTGTGCCCCCCAGGCCCCCATCTCCCCACCCACATCCTCCCCACCTCCCCTGCACGGATGCACACACACACACACACACACACACACGTATGAGTACAGTCAGTACTGTACTCATGTACGGCACCCTGACATGTCATGTCCAATTTGTAGACAGGGGCTGGAATGGCAATGTGTCTATAACTGCAGTCGACGTGCCTCCGTGTTCCTAGCATGTAGGAGCCACGTAGCCTGTGACATTTGTCTGCGCCATTCCATTCGATGCAGCAACTGTGACTGCGAAAATTGGATGCGGTACTTCCATAGTCCACGCCCGAACCAATCCTGTCCGGTCTGTAGAGGTGGCCACTTACCATAGGCAATAGCTGCTCCTCAACTCAAAATCTTATGCAACCCAAACACTAACTAACCTTGTGTGCCACTCTAGAGTAGTCTGTTCCAACGGTGAGTGTTTAGAGTTCTGCGAAGTTTGTCATACACCTCTCCCCTGCCCTTTGCATGTCATACTCTATCCTGCCCTTCACATATTTCTCTCCTGCCCTTTGCCCTCCACTTCCCCCTACCCCACACTCCTAAAGAACTCCGCCTCCTATCCCTTTCCCTCCACCCTCCTCTCTTGTGCTAGTAGCAAACACATATGAATGAGCATCGTTAAGAGAACAGACGATATGAAGATCAGAAGTGAAATAAACAGGAGTATGAAGATCTGAAGAGAAATGCGCAGGAGCATACCTTCCCTTTTACTCTGCCTCCTGTTATAACGTGCAAGTGGGCTGTTAAGGCACATGGGGATGTGGGCAGCTGCCGCTCAACCACAATCAACATGGGCAGGGTTGTACGTGCGAGGCATAGTAAAAGAGGAGCTGTTGCCCCAAAGGAACCCCAACTATACACAATTCGAAATGGTTCAATTATGATTCATGTTGCGTGCTAAAGAGGTGAATTCTTTAGTTGTTGGGCTGCCTCAACTCAAATCTACTTGTCTTGGTGAAATAGGGGCTGTTGTGGTGGAAACTTACAACACACACACACACACACACACACACACACACACACACACACACACACACACACACACACAC